TTGCAAACTGGAAACATTGAAACCAGACTGTGGGATAAGGCTCAGGGGTATGTTTGTTATAAAGCTGCATAGTGGGAAAATAGCATTTATTTTTCCACAGTGATTGGTCACAATATTACAATATTTTTTCAATTAAAATATTAAAAAAATATTTATTTATTTTTGAGAGAGAGAGAGAGAGAGACAGAGTGTGAGCAGCCAAGGGGCAGAGAGAGAGAGGGAGACACAGAATCTGAAGCAGGCTCTAGGCTCTGAGCTGTCAGCACAGAGCCCAACACGGGGCTGGGACCCATGAACCGCGAGATCATGACCCGAGCTAAAGTCAGACGCTTAACTGACTGAACCACCCAGGGGCCCCTTTAATAATGTGATTTTCTAGTATTACATAGTTCCTACTCCATCATCACATAGCATGTGCACGCTGTTAGATTTGGCTTATTGTGATTTCTGATTTTCACATCTATATTAATGAGTGAAACGAGCTTACAGTTTACTCTGCTTAGTTTTGCTTGTTTTTAAACCATACAGACCGTGTATCTGGCTTCTTTTGCTCAAGTTTATATTGTTAAGATTCATTCCTGGGACGCCTGTGTGGCTCAGTCTTTTGAGCGTCCAACTCTTGATTTGGGCTCAGGTCGTGATCTCACAGTCTTGGGATCAAGCCCCGCGGTGGGTTCTGCACTGGATGTGGAGCCTGCTTAAGATTTTCTCTTTCCCTCTGCTCCTCTTTCCCGCTCCCGTGCATTCTCTCTAAAAAAAACAAAACACAAAATTCCCTGGTAATGTTACATTAGCTACATGTACTTGATTCATTTTTGTTGCTTGCACAGCACCACAGGTAAACAAAGCCAGACCCTAGTTAAAGAGGCAAGGACAGATTTTAATCAATAATATACTGTTGCAATAGGAAGGAGTCCAGTGTGAACTGAACTCTGCTTTGGATTGCACAGAGGTCACTGGGTGGTTTAAGGGAGTGAGGGAGGCGGGTGGAGAGGGAGAGGGAATGTGGGGCTCAGGGGACTGGGGAAAGTGAAAAATTACAAGAAGCGGAGGGGGTGTGATCCCTGTGAAATCCATCTGGGTTTGCTGACTGGAGCTTATCAAAGTTAGATTCCTACCCTTCCCCAGAGGCTGGGAGACAGGGGCCCTACCTTCAGGTGTTGGCTGGGCAAACAGAAAGTTCTTTTGGTAACTTTGAGTTTTCTCAGGAAGGTGCTTTAAGGGAGGCTGGGGTCAGCCTAGGGATGTGGCCTTTATTTAAAATAAAGATATGGTCACATGTCTGAGATGTTTTGTTTTATGTCTTCACTCATGGACTCACAAGCTCTTTATAAACTCTGGCTACAAGTCTTTTGTTATTTGTATCACAGATCTTTTTTCTCACTCTGTGGCTTGCCCTTTCACCTTCTTAATGTTGTATTTTGATGAAAAAAGATAGAAGTTCTTAATTTTAATATAATTAGGTTTACCCAGCAGTGTTTTTGGTTTGTTTATGTCTTTTTTTTTTTTTTTTTTTTTATCTAGAGCTACAAGACAAGGTGGGGAGAGGGGCAGAGGGAGAGCCAGAGAATCCCAAGCAGGTCCAGGCTTGGCTCCCAGCTCAGGAGCCCAACACGGGGCCTCAAACCACAACCCTGGGATCGCGGACTGGAAGACTGCACCAAGAGTCAGATGCTCAGCCGACTGACTCACCCAGAAACCTCCCCCTCTTATGTCTTTTTAAAGAAATACTTTTAGAGTAGTTTTAAGTTCATAGCAAAATTGGGCAGAAAGATTTGGGGTCAGGGGCCTGGGTCGTGTTGCCAGCCCAACTCCTGACTGCAGCCTGTGCTGATCTCAATAGTTTGTGGGATCGCGACTCAGTAGGGCTGTACAGTAGCAGTGAAGCCACAGCTTCAGATCTTTCTCTCCTCTCTTGCCTCTCATGTGCATGTGCTCTCTCTAACATTTTATTTTGGCACTGCAAATCTTTTTTTAGTACATATATATATATTTAATCTTTTATTTTTGGGAGAGAGAGAGAGAGCATGAGCAGGCAGAGAGAGGCAGACACAGAATCTGGAAGCAGGCTCCATGTTCTGCCTGTCAGCACAGAGCCACGCGGGCTTGAACCTTAAGGAGCTATTAGGATCAAGCACCTGAGCCAAGTCAGACTTCAATCGACTGAGCCACCCAGGCGGGCTAGCCGCCGCAAACATTTTAAAAGCAGAGATTTCTTAAATCTCCGCTCCCCACCTTCCAAACACAGCCTCTCCAACTGTCTCTCATCCCCCCACCCAGAGTGTGTGTGTTACTGATGAACCCACATTGATATTCTTGTTGTCACCCAGCCCATTAGCATTTAGTGTCGTGACATTCTCTTGGGTTTTGGGCAAATGATGACATATGTGCATCATTACAGTGATCCTGCATTCTCACTGCCCTAGAAACTTGAGTGCTCTGTGTACCTTCATCCCTCCCCTCTCCACTGACCCCTGGGCAACCACTCACCCTTTTGCTGGTCTGTGTGTTTTCAGGGATGTCCTACTTGGAACCATACAATATATATAGCCTTTCGACCGGGCTTTTCACCTCTACATGCATTTAACTTTCCTCCATGTCTTTCCAGATTTGATGAAGCTGTGTGTGTGTGTGTGTGCGTGTGTGTGTGTGCGTGTGTGTGTGTACGCACAGGCAACGATGTTTCATTAGTGTTCTGTTGTCTGACATATATCCATTCACCATTTAAGGAAATCTTTGCTTTCTGGCGTTGGTGGAAAAGCTGCTATGCAACATTTGTGGTTAAACTTTAACTAATTTGGGTAACACCAAGCATACCATTAGCTGTGAGAGTATGTTTATTTTGTTAGAAACTGCAAACTGTCTTCCAAAGTGAAGGACCGCTTGGCTTCCACCAGCATTTGGTGCTGTCTCTGTTTTGATTTTAATGTTTATTTGAGAGAGACAGAGACAGAGAGAGAGAGAAACAGAGCAATGTTGGGGAGGGCAGAGAGAGAGAGGTGAATTCGGGAAGCAGGCTCCAGGCTCTGAGCTGTCAGCTGAGAGCCCAATGCTTTCTGAACTCAATAACCCCGGTGAGATCATGAGACCTGAGCCAAAGTCGGATTAATCGCCGAACTGTCTTGTATGCCTCTGTTTTTGACACACTTAAATAAGTAGACAAATAGGCTGTAGGTATCTCACTGTTTCAATTTGCATTCCTTTGACATGATGTGAGTATTTTTTTTTCTATGTTTGATTTGCCACCCGTACATCTTCGTGCTGTGTCTGTCTGTTGTCTTTTGCCCATTTGGGTTGTTGTTGAATTTAAGAATCATGTCTTTGGGGGGGTCCTGGTTGGGTTCTGAAATAATAGAGCAAACAACTCATGATCTTGGGTTTGTGAGTTTGAGCCTCATGTTGATGTAGAGACATTTAAAGGATATTTTAGGGGCACCTGGGTGGCTCAGTCGGTTAGGCAGCTGACCTTGGGGCTCAGGTCACGATCTTACTGCCTGCTATATTTCTGAGCCTGTGTCAGGTTTCCTTCAGACTGATATGTGCGCGGACTGCTTAGATTCTTCCTTCTCTTTCTGTCTCTGTCTCTCTCCCCCTCTCCTGCTCATGTGTGTTCTCTCTCTCAAAATACATAAACTTAAAAAAGTAATATCTTTTTTTTTTAATTTTTTTTGATGTTTATTTATTTTTGAGACAGAGCATGAACGGGGAAGGGTCAGAGAGAGGGAGACACAGAATCTGAAACAGGCTCCAGGCTCTGAGCTGTCAGCACAGAGCCCGACACGGGGCTCGAATCATCGACCATGCAGATCATGACCTGAGCCGAGCCTGGACTCTCAACGACTGAGCCACCCAGGCACCCCTAAAAAAATAATATCTTAAAAAATGATGTTTTGGATAACAGTCCTTCTTAGAATTTATACATAAGACTCCGTTCCTGTTCCACATTCCTCCCAACTTTGAAGGCATCAGTGTCATACCTTCTGCAGGGACATTTAGAACCTCAGTTCGTAGGTTTTAGAGTCTGAATTTGGGTCTCAAATTCCATGGAGCATTTGGGATGAGCTCACTCTGGCTTTGATTTTCCCCCTTCTCACTTTTTTGGACCTCAGAGAAAACTTCCCCTAAATCAAAGATACCAAGTCTCATTGCTTAAGGGGCTGTGTGAGTGTGAGTCTGATGGGGCAGGAGAGGCATGCAGGCAGCCTGGAATAGAGGAACTACAATTCCTGTCACCTCACTGTCAAATACACGTTGTAGATGGTGCAAGTACTTTAAGTAGTTTGGTCATATGTAAATACAGTTATTAAAAAACACTTTTCCTGGGGCCCCTTGGTGGCTCGGTCGGTTAAGCGTCCGACTTCGGCTCAGATCATGATCTCACTGCTCGTGTTCGAGCCCCGCGTTGGGCTCTGTGCTGACACACAGGTCCACGGCGTAGAGCCTGCTTTGGATTCTGTCTTTGTCCCTCTGCCCCTCCCTGGCTCAAGCTCTGTCTGTCTGTCTCTCTCAAATATAAATAAACATTTAAAGAGAATACTTTTCATGGGGTGCCTGGGTGGCTTAGTCGGTTGAACATCTGACCCTTGATTTTGGCTCAGGTCCTGATCTCATGGTTCGTGAGTTCGTGTCTGGCATCACGCTGTGCACTGACAGTGTAGAGACTGCTTAAGATTCTCTCTCTCTCTCTCTCTCTCTCTCTGCTCCTCCCCTGCTTGTGCATGCACACTGTCTCTCTCAAAAATAAATAAATGTTAAAAAAAAAAAAAAAAAGACTTTTTCCTTTCCGGGCACCTGGGTGGCTCAGTTGGTTAAGTGTCCGACTTCAGCTCAGGTCATGATCTCACGTTTTGTGGGTGTGAGCCCGGCATCGGGCTCCCTGCCGACAGTGTAGAGCCTGCTTCAGATCCTCTGTCCCCCTCTCCCTCTGCCACTCTCCTTCCCCTGCACGTGTGTGCTCTCTCAAAAACAAACATTAAAAAAAAAATACTTTTCCTTTCCAGATGTGCGTTCCAAACGGGATTATGACGAGAGCCACGTGATTACAGCCCGTCGCGTGGAGAAGGTATCCCGGCAGAGTCAGAATGTGGGGCGGGCCTTCACTCAGGATCCGTCTCTGTCCTCCGTCATCCCGACCACATCCTCCACCCTTGACTTCCAAGTTCGTTCCTTCTTTCCCTGGTGTCTCCTCTGTCTGCCTGGTTCAGCTTCATTTTCGCCAGCTGCTGTGTGAAGACAACCACTGGTTTGTCCTGGGTCTCCTTCAGATCTGTCCGTGTACCTTCTCGTTCAGAGATCTCACCCAGGCTTCCAGTTTCGACTACCCATCCACGATTACCTGAGCTGTCAGTTTTACCTGTAAAATTTTGTCTGGAGAAACTATCCCCTCCCCTTCCCACTGCCGCCCTGCGGGTGTATACTCCGTCTCTGGCCCTGTGCCATGTACCTCGCCAGAGTGGGCCCTGCCTCGGGCATTTTTCCGGGTTAAGCTCACTGCTTGGGAGTGTAGCTCAGCAGTGGAGCATTTGACTGCAGGGTAAGCTTGCGACCTAACACCCTCCTCTCCCCACCCCTACCCATCAGTATCTGCTTTTTTTTTTCCTCCTGGGGTTGTCACTTCTCTGGCTCCATACTCTAGCTCTTAGTCCCCATTTCAGAATATTCTCTGCCTTCTGCAGCCCGTCCAGAGCTCCTTCGGGATGATGTATGGCTCCACTCTCAGATTTGCATATTCTTTTGATTCTGGCAGCTCCCTGGGTCTGAAAGAGACCTCCTCTGGGCCTCAGCCAGGCTGACGCCTCCCAGCTCCCCTCCCCAACTTTCTAACCAGCAGCCCCAGCAGGACACACGGCCCCCAACTCGGTGCTCATGGCCTCCCCCTCCAGCCCCCTCGCTGGGCACACAGGCTTCTACTCTCACCCGGTCCCCCAATGACCTTGCCCTCCCGCGTTTCCTTGGTTCTCAGACGCACATAAGTCCCCCATATTTTAACACTGCCGAAATTGGAATGTGTCCTACAGTGGATTTCCACTTTAATGTGGCAGTATCTTTTCCCCCGAAAAGTGGATGTGGTGGATATCTGTTCCTTTTCTGTTGCAGCACCCCCACCCTTTTTTGAGGGGAACTCTTCCTGCCCAAATCACGGGTGTCTGGTGATAGGCCCTTAAACTAGTATTCAGATCCAGGCCTCAGTGATTGGCCATGGGCCTAGGATGAAAAGAGCAAAACGGAGTTGTGATCGGAGAAGCAGCCTCCTCCTCTATTGAGCAGTTGAGTTTTGGGGGGTGGGCGTCTGGGCATCACTGGTGGCTGTGTCACAGGCCTCAGGAGCACGTTGTCGGAGAAGGTGAGGTCTGTGTGCAGGGGGAGTGGAGAGGAGCACCTGAGGGGGAGGTCTGGGCTTCAGAGCCCAGGTTCAGAGCCCAGGGCAGAGCCCTGGTTCAGGTTTTCCTGGGGATCAGTTGCTCCCCACCCCTGCCGGATGTGTTAGATGCCAGTAAATCGTTCACTCCTCACGGCGATGGTGATCAAATTAGTGGTGTTGACAACCAACAGTGTCTTTTTTAAAATTTTTATTTAAAAATTTTAAAAGTTTTTTTCATTAAAAAAATATTTTTAACATTTATTTATTTATTTATTTATTTATTTATTTATTTATTTACATTTATTCATTTTTAAGAGCTGGAGAGAGACAGAGCATGAGTTGGGGAGGGGCAGAGAGATACACACACAGAATCTGAAGCAGGCTCCAGGCTCCGAGCTGTCAGCACAGAGTCCGACGTGGGGCTCGACTCACAAACCGCGAGATTGTGACCTGAGCTGAAGTCAGATGCTTAACCAACTGAGCCACCCAGGCACCCCAGAAACTTTTTTTTTTTTAATGCTTATTTATTTTTGAGAGAGAGACAGAGACAGAGTGTGAGTGAGGGAGGAGCAGAGAGAGAGGGAGACACAGAATCTGAAGCAGGCTCCAGGCTCTGAGTGGTCACCACAGAGTCTGACGCAGGGTTCGAACTGACAAGCCGTGAGATCATGACCTGAGCCGAAGAGGGACACTTAACCGACTGAGCCACCAGGCGCCCATAACCAACAGTCTCTTAATCTAGGAAATCCAGTTCTCATGGCCCCCTGAGCACACTGCTTCCAGAACTTTTGCTGGGAGCACAGGGATGTATGTGCCAGCTTTGCTAATCACTGTGTCCCAGATGCTCAGTCTGGTCCCTGGCATCTGGGATGAACTCAACGCTTGTTTGTTGACTAAAATGAAACACCTGGAAGCTGTTCCTTCTGCCTGGAACATTCCCCCCTCCCTTGTCCATCTGGCAAATTTCCCCTCGCCCTTGCGGTCCCATCGCCAAACCTCCCTGCCCTCCACGGCCTTTCTGAGTCTCCCAGGCTGACACGGCTCTTTCCCTTTGCCTTTTTGAACCTCTGTATTCCAGAACCTCACACGGGGTACGTGCGGAGTGCATCCTCAGTGAATACTTAAGTGAAAGGGCACATGAATGTCCAGCCACATCTCTCCTGCTCTCCCGCCTGCTCCGGCCTCCGTGGGCTCTCCTCTCCTTCCCCTTTGCTCGTGTCTTCTCCATCTCCGGAAACCCCCTCCCCTCATTAGCTGTCCAAACCCTGCTGGTCCCCTGAGCAATCGCTCGCTCTCCTGGTGCCTCCAGACAAATGTGATTCCTCCCCTCTCAGTCCCAGACAACTTCCTGGTCTGTCCCTCCACGGGCCTTGCCTGACTGCCTTCAGGTAGAGTCGACGTATACTCGCCCTGTTCCACCGGCAGGTCCTCTGTCTGGCCATCTTTGTCGGTCAGACCAGGTCCCAAGGGACAGAGGCAGGCTCGGGATCCCTTAAGCAGTGGGGGCCTTGGGGGAGCACTACGAACGAGTGAAGACTAACTTCTCAGCCGGTGCCCAGCCAGGCCTCCTTGAGCTCTGGAACACCCTTTGGCATCCTGGGCATTGTTCCTGCATCCGTTGTCTACCACCCTGGTGACTCAGCAGCCCCGACTACTCATGACATCCTGGTTCCTGTTTGCCCTTTCCTCTCTCTGACTGGATTTATAGCCACAGGCCGGGCACTGTTCTAGAATCAGGGTACATCTGCAACCACAAAAAGGCAGAAGTTCCCACTCTCCGAGAGCTTACACTCGAGCGTACAGTTGGCCCCGTTATAGTCACTTGCTCGTGACCTGCTTATCCAAGCTCTCTGCTTACTGCCCTTTCTATGGCAGATTTTGGATTTGGCCGCCACTGCCAATGACCGTCCCCCAGAGAGGGTGTCATCAGCCTGGCCAGGGTCACTTTGATGGCAAGCGTGCCAGGCCGCCTAGTGGGCTGCGGGCCGGTCAGTGGACCAGCACTTCTTCGGTCAGGCGCTGTCTCTGGTCCGCTCAGCTGTGGTCAGCTATTCACAGCAGGGCACGTGGGTGCGGGAGGCGCTTGGAGCTCTGCAAGCTCTCCGGTCCCTTCTCGGTGCTTCCGTGCCTGTGGGTGTAGTCAGGGGACCGGGCACGGTCTGACCTCCGGTGCTGGTGTGCAGGGGGTGTTTGCTCAACCGAACCCACCTGCCCACACACCCGTCTTGTGGTTTCTGTAGAAGGCGAGTGAGTATCTTCTCCCGGAGTCTGTGGATCTGGAGTGCGTGAGGTACTGCGTGGTGTATGACCACAACACCAGCACCCTGGAGATCGTCTTAAAAGAGGAAGAAGGTGACAACTGTGACGACGGGCCGGGTAGGTCTTGACGGTTAGGGAATAACTTCTGCCGCGTACTGGGAACCATACCAGAGGCTCTCCCTGGGTCGACGCCTGCAGTCCGCAGAACATCCCTGTGAGAAATGGGCCCGTCAAGAACGGGGGTGGGTCTGGCTCAGGTTTTCCCTTCCTCACAAGACGACAGGCAGGCTGCCACAGTGTCATGGGTGCTGGCAGAAGACCTGAGGCTCCTGAGTCCGAGTCGACGGACTTCATGACTCAGAGCAGTGAAAGTGACCAGAATGTCCCCATTCTCTACGCTGGTGCCCAAGCCCCGACTCTCACAGGGTGCCAGGAAGGAGGGCTGGGTAATAGCCACCTACACGGTGGCTTGTGTTCCAGGAGAACTCTGAGCTCAGGGGCCTGAATCTTTGATAATGGGCAGAAAGCCTGCCCGCCCCTGACTCTGGAGGAAGAAGCCATCGGTCTTCCAAAGCCGTTTGATATACGGATGTTCTTGAAAAGCCAGTACCTTTGCTCAAAGGACACGTAGAAACGTGAGAAGCTACGGAGAATGGTCTCCTAATGGGTAACATCCCCCATTTTATAGAAGGGGAAATTGAGGCCCAGAAAGGTAAGTGCAGTAACTCACTCAGAGTCCCACACATGTTGAGTTATTTATTCCCACATAACAAGTTAGCCCCCAATTTGGTAGCTTAATGCAGCAAAGGTTAATTAATTAACCAGTACCAGGTTCCGGCACGGGTCTCTCCCGAGATCGCAGTCGAGATGCTGGCCAGGGTCACTGTCATCTGAAGGTGTCGCTGGGCCAGGACGATGTGCATCTGAGGTGTCTCACACAGGTAGGGCCAGGAGGCCTTCGTTCTGCGCCACCTAGACCTCTCCATAGGACCGCTTGCGTGGCCTTGCGACATGGCAGCTGGTTTCCCCCAGAGTGGGCCATTCAAGAAGGAGAGACAGCAAAGGAAAGGCACATGCCTTTTATGACTGACTCCTGAGACTTCCAAGGTCACTTCTGCCACATTCTGTTCATTAGAAGGAAGTCACTAAGTGCAGCTTACTCTGAAGGGATGGAGAATCAGACTCAACCTTTATTTATTTTTTTTAAATTTAAAGTTCATTTTTTATTTATTTTGAGAGAGAGATAGAGAGCAAGCAGGGGAGGGGCAGAGGGAGAGAGAATCCCAAGCAGGCTCTGTGCTGCCAGTGCAGAGCCCTATGCGGGGCTTGAACTCACAAACTGTGAGATCATGGCCTGACTGAAATCAAGAGTCAGATGCTCAACAGACTGAGCCACCCAGGCGCCCCTCAACCTTTATTTTTTTTTTTTTAATGTTTATTTATTTTGAGAGAGCACGCGTGAGCAGGGAAGGGCAGAGAGTGAGGGATAGGGGTACAGAGGCTCTGTTTCTTCTGGCTCAGCTGCTAATAGGTGTGGGTGTTTCCATGGCCCCGGGGCATTCACACCACAGTGGTCACTAGGTGGCGCCAGGCTTCCATCTTTAATAAAACCAGTCTTCCTGGAGGTCCTTAGTCAGGAAATTGTGCCCTGTTCCCCAAGCTTATCTTGTTGGGTTCCAGTCTGCAATCCTAAGATTGTGGGCTGAACCCTAAAGCCATAGGAAATGGTTGTCAATAAAGATAACCCCCTCCACGTTCTATAGCTGACCTCACCTTGCCACGGGACCCCCATTCTCACTCCTTAGGAAACCACAACCACAAAACAACACAGCAAGACCTCAAATCGCACGCACACGTATATCTACACCTTGCCCAGTCAAGGCTCTTTTCTCCTTTAAAATGGCATCTTTCAGGTGAACGCAGTCTTTGGGGTAAAAGACCATTTCGAGGTTTCTCTCACGATCCCTTTCCCCTTCCTACTGTTAAGCACGCACCTCCCCACCCCCTCCAAGGAAATCTGTTTGTGGGTGGAGCCTCCATCACACATCCTAGAAGCAGGGGTCCATCTCTCCTGCCCTCCTGGTGAGGTGTAGCTCACCTGTGTAGCCTGTGGCCACGGGCCTTTGTCCTTGCTGTGTCTGTGGCTGACATGTCCCCATCTAGTGTGAGTCATGAGCAGTTCCCTACCCCCAGCTCTGTGCCCTCCTTCTCAGGCTTTCCATGAGTGCTGCTCATCCCTGGGCTGTTGCTACTTTTCTCCTATCCAGCGTTAGGTTAACCACCCTCCTGTCCTGCTGTGGCAGAAATGGGGCACAGGTGGTTTTTAGGAACCCCCAGCTCCTGCAGATGAGGTGTTTTCACTTTCTCAGCTGGATCTCTTCTTAGGAACCTGGAGAGTACCTTTCCTTGTCTTGGCCTCTGCGGTGGGTTCTCCTTCCTTCCTTCCTTCCTTCCTTCCTTCCTTCCTTCCTTCCTTCCTTCCTTCCTTCCTTTTTTAATATTTGTTTTATTATTTTGAGAGAAAGTGAGTGGGGAGAGAGGCAGAGAGAGAGAGGGACAGAAAGAATCCCAAGCAGGCTCCACACTCAGCATGAAACCCGACATGGAGCTCCATCTCACGAACCATGAGATCATGACCTGAGTCGGAATCAAGAGTTGGGTGTTTAACCGACGGAGCCACCCATGTTGCCCTGGGGCTCTTTCTCTAAACTCCTTTTACCAGGCCAAGGGCAGCCCCCTTCTTGTAGGAGAGACATTTCCCTTATGTTAAACCATCCTTCCTTCCTTGTAACATGTGGATTACAGACACTCCCCACCCTTGCCCAAATTGGGCTCTTGATATGTGTGGGTAGAGTTCCCTGGGCTGGGGCATTCACAACAACCATGGGGGGAAGCTTTGGGAATTTTTTTTTTTCTTCCTCTCTCAACACAGCCTGACTTTCAAGCCAATTGTCCTCGTGCTGAGGACCAAAAATAATTGAACTTAAAGCTCCCTGCTGAATGGAAAGCCCCTTGGCCTGGAAGTCGTCCCGGCCTTTTGAAGCAGTAGGTGCCCAGTTCAACATGTATGAAGCCTCGTGTCAATGGAGAACTGAAGGTTAATGGGATTAAAAATGAATTTAAGGTTTTAAAAATATTAACCCCATGGTATCCATGGCTGGGTAGCCTGGGCCCCTGGCTGTTCTCATGGCTCTCCCCTGGAATCTCTAATTATTCTCCTGGAAACTGGCCTTCTTCCATTGACCCCATGGCACCCCAATGGATAGGCCTCCAGCCAGTCATGTGACATTGGCGGGGGAGCAGCTGTCTGGTTTAAAGGCAACAGCAGTGTGTCTGGGGACTCCCCTCTCCTAGGCCCTCTGACCCTTTAGCCATTATTCAGCCTCTCGCTCAAGAGGGAGATGGTGTTGAGACACCCAGCATTCTGGTTTCCAAGCCCAGCCTTCTAGGATAGGGTTTGGCCCCTGTCTTGCCAGCTACAGGTTCTTTAGATACAGTCTCTCGCGACAGGTCTGGAGGCCATTGTTGGGCTCAGCAGCCCCTGCTGGAATTGGCTTTCTCTCTTTGGACAAAGGTTCGATACAGAAGCCCGAGTCTGTGCCCTTCCCTTTCTCCTTTAGCTGGCTCTCCAGAGTCTGCTGCATGGTATTTCTCTTTAAGGCTCAGATCCTGGCCTTGGGATATCTTGGCTTAGCCTTAATTATGTAAACTTCCTGCCATACCTATACCTATACCTATACCTATACCTATACCTATACCTATACCTATACCTATACCTATACCTATACCTATACCTATACCTATCTATATGCATGCATATGGTTTCGTGATTCTGTGGATCAGCGAGGGCATTTAAGATGAACACATTGTCAAAACCACAGTGAGCTATCACTTCACACCCACTAGAATGGCCACGATCCAAAAGATGGATGCTAACGAGCATCAGTGAGGGTGTGGAAAAATTGGAGCACTCCTGCTTCGCTGGTCTGAGTGTAAGGTGGTGCAGGTGCTGTGAAACAGTTTGGTATTTCCTTCCAAAAGTTCATTGTAGGGGCGTCTGGGTGGCTCAGTCAGTCAAGCGTCTGACTTTGGCTCAGGTCACGATCTCATGATTCATGAGTTTGAGATTCATGATTCATTGAGCCCCGCATCGGGCTCTGTGCAGACAGAGCCTGGAGCCTGCTTTGGATTCTGTGTCTCCCTCTCTCTCTGCCCTCTCCAGTTCATGCTCTGCCTCTCTCTCTCAAAAATAAACATTAAAAAAAATTTTTTTAAAGTTCAATGTAGAGTTACTGTACGGTTCAGTTCTGCCCCTCGGTACGTACGTGAAAACGTGCCCACAGAATCTTGCGTGCAAGTGTTCACAGCAGCACCATCCGCAATAGCCAAGATGTGGACATGGCCCTATGTGCATTGGCAGATGAATGGATAAACCAAAAGGCGGTAGAGTCACACGATGAAATAGTATTCAGCTCTAAAAAAGAACAGAGTACTGGCCCACGCTACAACACGGATGAAATTTGAAGATCTTATGCTGGGCGAAAGAAGCCAGACCCAAAGCACCATTTGCATGATTCCCTTTACACAAAACGTCCAGAATGGGCAAATCTGTAGAGAGAAATTAGATCAGTGGTTGCCTCGTGCTGGGTGTTTGAAGGGAAATAAGGAGCGAAACCTAACTGGTGCAGGAGTGCCTTTTGGGGGGTGATGGTTGCACAACTCTGAATACCCTAAAAACCATTACCTTATACACTTTAACTAGGTGAATTGTCTGGTATACGATATGTGTTGTGTGTATATATCAGAGAGATTTCTCTGTTAAATCATCTTTCCTTGCAATAACGTGGGGATCTATACAATTTAAGAGTTTACAGAAAAGAAGCATGAACTTAATTAGTAGCAAGTGGCTTTTTAAATTTTATTTTTTAATGTTTGTTTTTGTGAGAGAGCGAGTGAGCAGGGACAGAGAGAAAGAGAGAGACAGAATCCGAAGCAGGCTCCAGGCTGTCAGCACAGAGCCCGACACAGGGCTCAAACGCACTAACCACAAGATCATGACCTGAGCCGAAGTTGGACACCCAACCGACTGAGCCACCCAGGCGGGCCCCTTAAATTTTAGTTATTAACACTCCTCTCCATTTATATTTGTTCAGTTTCCTAGACCGCTGCTTTTCCAGACAGGTGACCATCTACTGGAGCTCAGGGTGAATGGTGCACACACAGGGGACATTCACCTCTTTGGTCTCCGCTCTTAGGACTGGTGCCTGGAGCTGCCGTCGAGTGTGGCAGAGCCCTGGCCAACCTCACCCGCCACCCCGTCTGCATCCTGAGAGGAGGCTATCAGGGCTTCTCGGCCATGTACCACTTCTTCCGGACGCAGAAGATCATCTGGATGCCACAGGTAAGGCAGGGTATCCAGCACAGGCAGGCTCAGGTGGGAGCCCGGTTTTCCCAGGGGACAGAGGGGTAGGGAGCTGGGGTAGAGGAAAGAGGAGGCCAGTGACAGGGAAAGGTAGAAGGGATGTAGGAGCCTGTGCTTGGGAAATGAACTTGGGGCAGCAGGAGGTCCAGGCCACTGTGACGAATTTATCATCGCCAGATTCAAGCCAGAGTTAGCGTGGTGTTTAAGAGGTAGGGCCCGTCCAGAGTGGAGGGATCCCTGAGGGGAGGGGGCTCCAGGTGGTGGGCCATCACCAAAGACCAGCAGGGGCACCATGATTTGAGGCTGCCTCTCCATTGGCAGCTGTCTGGACCCACAAGCCCTGACTGGTCCAGAGGACCCAAGAAAGGGTGAGCTAGCATCCCTACCTATGAGGAGTTCTTGGCTAGCAGGGGAGACCAGGGGCACCCTAGGTATCTGGAGCCTCCAGAGGCACCTCCTAGAGCCAAACCGGAAGGAGGAGGAGCTGGTGAGCAGGAGAAGTGGATGCAGGGGTGGCCTTGACCTGCAGGCCGGGGCTGGGGGGGG